CAGGAAGCAGAGCTTCAAGCCCTCACTACAGCGTGTAAGATGGCAGAAGGTAAAAGAGCTAATATTTACACAGACTCAAGGTACGCCTTTGGAGTAGCTTATGACTTCGGTATCATCTGGAAAGCCAGAGACTGGAACACTGGTAAAACACGGCCCAGCCATCAAGGATTTAATGGATGCACTGCTCCTGCCTGACCAAGTGGCTGTCTTGAAGGTTAAAGCACATGGTAAACTGAATTCTCAAGAGGCCAGAGGGAACCACTTGGCGGATATAGCTGCCAAAGAAGCAGCGAAAAAACCAACGAAAAACGTCTGAGGTGGCTGAAGAGGAGAGTGAGACCTCAGTACAGATACTTTTGGCAGTGCATGTGCCATCTGACAAGCAATACCTGATTTTTATGTAAATGGCCGCTTATACAGAAGAAAGGTTGGAATGGATTGATAAAGGAGCAGACTACGATGGAGAATTGTATTCGATGAAAGGAAAAACTTGTTTACCAAAACATATGTATCCAGCAATTGTCCAATGGACGCATGGAAATGCACATCTCTCTAAGAACTTAATGAACTCACTGATCAGCAAGTATTACTGGGCTCCAGGGATAACCACCTTAACCAGAAATTACTGAGCCTCGTGTGTAGTATGTGCAAAATGCAACCCGGGGAGGACGGAAAAGACACCGCAGAAACATCTGGCAAAACGTCTCTATCCATTCCAGAGGATACAGATTGATCATATACAGATGCCAAAAAGTGGCCGATATGAATATGCTCTAGTGGTGGTGGACATGTTCTCTGGTGGGCCGGAAGCCTATGCTGTTACAAACATGACAGCCAAGACCATGGCTAAGAAATTACTGAGTGAGGTAGTCTGTAGATTTGGGGTCCCAGAGGTGATAGTGATCAGGGTCCAGCCTTCACAGCAACCCTTACAAAAGAGATTTGGACAGCACTGGGGGTTGAGTTGGCCTTACACACCCCCTATCACCCTCAAAGCAGTGGGAAGGTAGAAAGGATGAATGGGACTCTAAAAAAACAGGATGCTAAAAATGGCCCAAGAGACTGGCATGAGTTGGCCAGACAGTTTGCCCATTGCTCTGTTTAGTGTCAGACACACCCCCGGGGGAAACATGCCCTGTCCCCTTAAGAAATTTTGTTTAGCTCAGCCCCCCAGACTTGGCTGTTACTTTCCGCAACAGTTGCAATTACAATCTGATGTGTTAACTGATTATGTGACTGTATTATCACGTGAATTAACCCATATCTATGTCCAAGTGTTTTCTCCATTCCAGATTCTGAGTCAGATACAGGAACTCACAGCCTATTACCCGGAGTTTGGTTATTAGTAAAGACATTTATGAGGAAACATTCCCTTGAGCCAAGATATAATGGTCCATTCCAAGTTCTGCTGACCACAGCCACTTCTGTCAAGGTGGCCGGGAAGAACACTTGGATACACGCCTCCCACTGCAAGAATGTCCAACCCCTGAGGAAAAGGAGTCATCTACACCATGACAACTATGTTGTATATCCTTTTTCTTATAAGTCTGACAGAGGCTCAACAGGTGGCTATCACCGAAATAGGCGACACCACTATATTTTGGTACAACTCATCCAACACTCATGTAGTTATTTTTACCTTTGATTTCTGTAGTATAGATCCCATGTGGTGCTATGACCATAATCTATATGATCTTAATACAACGAGCATGTTCCGATAGTAGTGACCAGGTATACATATGTGTCATGGATGATTACTGGGGACCAAAAGATTAGAATAAGATTGGAAGGGATTTGGACTGGTGAGTATGCCCTTGCAAAGGTCATTATGCCTCTCCACATCCTAGCAGAGAATACCCCTGACCCAACGCCTGGCCGTAGGAGGAAGCGAAAAGCTCCTTCTGGTAGTTTTGACCCACAAGTGTATATAGATGCCATTGGAGTCCCAGGGGGGTGCCTAATAAATTCAAAGCAAGAGACCAAGTAAAAGCAGGCTTCGAATTTCTGATCCCCATAATAACTGTTAATAAAAATGTAGATTGGATAGATTACATATACTACAACCAACAGAGGTTTGTGAATTACACCAGAGATGCCCTCCAAGGAATCGTTGACCAGCTAGCCCCTACATCCTACATGACATTCCAGAATAGGATGGCTCTAGACATGATTTTAGCGAAAAAGGAGGTGTTTGTAAAATGATAGAAGGAACTGGAACATGTTGTACATATATTCCTGACAATACTGGCCCGAATGGTAAGGTTACTCTGGCTATAAAAAAATTAAAAGATCTGTCAGTGGAGCTGAAGAAGAACTCAGGTATCTCAGACCTGTGGGATCAATATTTTAGCTGGATGAGTGGGTGGCAAAAGGTGCTCGCCCAAATAGGTGTAACGGTACTAATAATTCTAGTCTTCTTTTAGCTCTGATTGTATGTTGTATTCTATCATTTGTAAAGAAGTTAATAAGCAAGGTTGTAGACAACAGCACACCTACATTTCTCCATCAAGAAGAGGAGGACCCTTTTGTGATGGAAGAGGATAAACCTTTCACTCCTCTACAGTCCCTCCCCACCAACAGCAATCTCACAATTTTGTAGGGATAGCATCTGACTTCCTTATGTACAAAGTCTGTGGCAAGGGGGGGGTGATGAAATAGTCATCACCCGTCTAACGTACAGCATAAAAGAGTTCCAAGGTACATAAGGACAGATGAGCTAGGCTTTATAGGGACAGAGTAAAATAGTCATTTTAAGGGGGGACTGTGATGGATTTGGTAAAATGCCTATTCTGTTTTCTGTTTAAAATATACATTTTATACATATTTACTTTTATACTTTTTTATATTTCTAAATATATGTGTTGTGAGTATATAATATACATATATATATATATTTTGTCTGCTGGGCTTTGCAGTCCTCCTTAACTTGTTTTGCTCAGAGCGATGCTCTCAACCCCTCCCTTCGCACTGAGAGGACCTTTTACTTAGACTTTGGGAATGTGACGGGGAGTGAACAGAGATAACGGGATGAGAAGCAAGCATCAAGTTTCTACATTTCTCCTATATTTCAACCAAGCAAAATGTGCCTTTCAGAATGTGACTGTATATACGTAATAGTGACGTATACTCTATTGTTCTCTATGTATAAAAGGTTAAGCGCCGCCCTGCAATAAACAGAGATGAGATGATGTGAAAGTGGTTGTACTGGACAGTTGTCCGTGTAATTATTTTCCGGCGTGCACGCAATCCATATCTCAAAATTAGGAACAGCAGCAGAAATCCTACCCTGAGCCCGATTGTGGTTCTCCCAACCTTTTTACTAGGATTTCTAGCCGTGGCCATCTTGAGTAAGGACAGACGATTCACGTAACACTTACTTCCTGGAATCCCTCTGCCTTTAGCTCAGGAATGCAAGCAGGAGGGTGTGCTTAACTGAGAATACCCCTCCTCTCCTCCTAATGACTCCTTGGATGTATGACATCATTTGCCTAGGCATGGAAACCAGGAAGTAAGTGAAAAGATGTAGAAAAAAAAAGGTTTAAAACAGGAAAATATTATATATTTTCCTATCTATTTACTAATGCTATAGCAGCATAAGCGTTCAAAATAGTCAATGTTGACTGAAAGAGTGAAGTTTCGCTTTGAGTAGTTGCAATCAGGGCTGCTGTTAAAAACCACGGGTCCCCATAAAGCCAACATGACAAGCCCCCCCCCCCAAAAAAAAACACAGTTTACTATGCTGCTAGCTATGAATGAACACAATGAATGATTGGCACCAATCACTCATTGTGTTCATTCAGGAAAGGAAGGGTGTACTTGCAGCTGCAGGTGGTATGGAGAGGAGGGAAGCTGGCAGCACTGTGGGTGTGGGGGGGGGGGGGGGCACACAGGGGGACCTGGGCAACAGGGGAAACATATTGTGAACAGGGAGATGGGTATGGCGGGGGGCAGTTACTGGAACTAATATACTGTATGGCTATCTCTGCAGCAGCTATAAGCCAGCAGAGAGAGGAGAAGAAGCCAGCTTTCACCTGCTGCAGAGAGAGCCACACAGGGGATCGGTTGCAGTAATTGCTGCCCCCCCTCCACACTGTTATAAACCATGGAGCCCCATACAGCCAACATGGCAAGCCCCCCCCCCCCCACAAAAAAAAAAACCCAAACTGTTTGCTTTGCTTCAGTTATTAATGAACACAGTGAGTGATCAGTACCGATTACTCAGTGGGGTAGATTTACTAAAACTGGTGCACTCAGAATCTGTTGCAGTTGTGCATGGTAGCCAATCAGCTTTTAACTTCAGTTTGTTCAATTAGGCTTTGGCACTAAAACCTGGAAGCTGATTGGTTTCTATGCAGAGTTGCACCAGATTTTGCACTCCCTAATTTTAGTAAATAAAGCCCATTGTGTTTATTCAGAAAATGAAGAGGCTGGTAAATGTGACATATTTACCAGATCTTTCCCCCACTCTCCATCCTGCTGGATCTTGTGTGCTTGCAGCTTCCAGTGGGAAGGAGAGAATGGAACCTGGCAGCACTGCGGGGGTGGGGGCACACAGGGGGCTTGGGCAGAAGGGGGAAATGTATGGAGCACAGAGAGGGTGATGGGCGCAGTAGAGGGGAGGTAAATACTGGAACCAATCCCCTGCATGTACCCTGATGAAGTCACGTGAGCAGTGGCGCAACGTGTAGGTGACGTCACTTCCGGCACAGACGCCATCTTTGGACTCTCAGAAGAACCCATGCAAGTACACCCATACATGAGGTTCTAAGGCTATGTACAAGATGATCAACAATGTGAGTGTTCTGATTACATTTTAATTTACTGCATAATAAATGGTATCACACTATGGAGGTTTTTCTCTTTGTGGAGCATTTGGGAGCTGGTAATACTGATTAAGAGCCATTTAAGAAAAGGGAAATCGAGTTGGTCCTTGGTCTGGAAGACTTATGCCCTTTTAGGGTCACACTAAGGAGGCGAGGAGCCAATCTAGCTGTGTTTGGAGCAGGGGCGGACTGACCATTTGAGCACCCGGGCACTGCCCGAGGGCCCGGGGTCAGTAGGGGGCCCCATGAGATGCTCCTGGTACCTTTCATTGGCTTTTTCATAGGCTTTTTGGGTGTGGGTGAGGACACAGGGGCCCCATGATCCCCTATTGCCCGGGGGCCCCATGAGTTGTCAGTCCAACCCTGGTTTAGAGTCATCACCAGAGCCTACAACGCACAAGATTCACCTGCATGTTTATAACTTATTGTTGTGGACACTGGTGTCACGTATCATTATATATACATATAATTTCTGTGTGAGGCATTCTTTTATCATATTCACCATGTATTGATTTTTATTATGGTTTTAGTAGTTTATTTATTAGTATTGATTTGAGTGTGTTGACACGGAGCACTTTGTCACTGTATATGTAGGTTATATCTCCCAGTGTTGGGGGCACAGTATTATTTTTCACTATATATTCAATATTATGTTGTGTTGCACTTTTTTGTGACATATATTCAATACTTACCTTTGTTGAGTGGTTTTCACTGCTTGTTTCACCATTTGTCACATTATTATTCTGTGTTGAGAGTTTTAGGTTTTTGTTTGCTAGAGAGCGCTACACCAATTGTTTGTATTTATGCTTTTCCACTTTAGGTAATAAGGTGCAGGTGTAGCAGCCTATTTAAGTATATTAGACTTGAGCGCAGGAGGTTTTCCCCTATATTTGAATCCCCTGCATGGCTCTCTCTGCAGCAGCTGAAAGCAGGAGGAAGAGTAGAAGAAGCCAGTTTTCAGCTGCTGCAGAGAGAGCCATACTGGGGATCAGTTCCAGTAATTGCCCCCCAGCTGCCCCTATCACCCACCCTGCCCACATTTGATTCACCCAGCTGTCTGGGCCCCCCTGCTGTCCTGGGCCCCCTACAGGAGGACTGGTGGTACCAGGGGTGGACTGTCCATTTGGAAACTCGGGCACTGCCAGAGGACCCGGGGTCAGTAGTGGGCCCCATGAGATGCTCCTGGTACCTTTTTCATAGGCTTTTTTGAGTTTGGGCAAGGACACAGGGGCCCCATGATCCCCTATTGCCCAGGGGCCCTATGAGTTGTCAGTCTGCCCCTGGGTGGTACCCTCTTATCCACAGCCCTGGTTGCAATGATATGTACAGTTTTGCTAACACATGTCAAATTTTCAAAACTGGCTTTAGGCATTGACATTTGTTTTACCCTCAGTCATGAAGGGGTTAAACCACTGATCCTGCTGATCTTTTGTAGCTTCCTGTACCAGTCTTCCCACCAATAGACAATCTAAGGGCTCATTTACACTTGCAGTGCCCTCTGAAGAGTGATCCACGGTGGACACTTATTAGAGGATGTGTGGCAGGCAGTGAGAAGGCGTTATGTCACAATCTGCACCACGCACTTGCAGTGCGGCTCTATTCAAGTGAATGGGTTGGGTTCGGAGGGAGGTGCTGCCCACTGAGCATGACAAGGGAATCATTTTTACCATGCCATGATGTACAAACATGCGACTCTGCCCCAAAGAAGCTCAATTACTTTTGTGAACTTACCCTAGGTTCACACCTAAGCATTTTTGCCACATTTTTTGATGCATTTTGCGGTTTGTGTTTTAAATCTGCCTAGCAACAAGAAATTTTTTTTTTAAATGCAAAGCGCATAAAAAAAGGTGCAAAAACACAGAAGGCAACACAAAACGCAACGCAAAACACAATGCAGAAATGGCTCAAACCCAACCTGCATAGGTGTGAACCTAGCATAAGGCTTGGTTCACACTGGATGTGATTTTAAATCACGCATTTTGTTTGCCATTTCACTGCATTTTCTGAAGATTTCCCAATGATTTCTTGCGTTTTCCATTGTGTTTTGCAGTGTGATTTCTATTGTAGTCTATATGTGAAATCGCAACAAACTGCAGAAAAAGTAATACAAGAACTCAGACACTCACATTCACATTCATTAGATACGATTTCAGGTGCGATTTCAATTCTAAAATCACACCTGAAATTGTGGCACGGTGAACCAGCCCTTACCCTAGGTTCATGCCAAAGCATTTTCTGCAGCATTTTGTGTTTTGCAGAAACGCAATACAGTCCATTTACACCCCGGTCACATCTTACAGTGAAGTCATGCGATTTCAAAGTCATGGGACATGCCGATCTCAGGTGCAATTTGCAAGACATCTGACACAGACGTCTATGCAAAGCGCACCAGAAGTAGTGCATGCACTGTTTTAGAAATAGGTGCGGCTCCGACCAAGTCGGAACTTCACTGATATGACCGCTGTAATTGCGGACAATAAGGTGCGACTTGGAATATGATTTGCAAGTCGCATGGTGTGCAAATCGCATGCCAAGTCACACCCAGTGCGACCGTGGTGTCAACATGATTTCCTATGGGACATTTTTACATCTGCACGTTTTCACCCGGTGCGTTTTTTGGAAAGGGTCAGGGACGTTTGGACTTTTTTTGGTTCTATAGAATTCAATGGAAGAGCTGCAGAAAAGCATGTATTGCGTTTTTGCTGTTTTTTTTTTTTTTTGCCTCATTTTGTATTTTAAACCTGCCTAGCAACAAGAGAAATTAAAACAAATGAAAAAAACGCAAATTGCATCAAAGATGCAAGTGCAAAAACACAATGGAAAACACAATGCAGAAACGGCTCGAACACAACCTGTGAAACTAGGGTAAGAGCGACTATCTTCCAGTGACCAGAAGCTCTGGTGTGAACAGGCACCATAGGAGGCAATACAATCCCCATGTCCAGTGCTGAAGTGTTGCTAGAAAATCGCTGAAGTCTAGGGTGCCGGCAGATGTATGCAGGCCATAGAAAAAAATCTACCGTTTTTCGGATCGTTAGTGGGGTAATCAGTCGGCCGTTTTTTTGTGATTTGACACTTTTTTTTATCGGTCATGTTGGAAAAAAAATCTGCCAATTTTGTCCTTCAGCCGATTTTTGCGGCAATGATGGACAAATCGGCCGATCTTTTTACCGATTTTAAAAGATGCGCATGAGCAGTGACCGGAAAGAAGAAGGAAAAGAAGAAAAAGAAGAAATAGAATATGAATAAGAAGGAGAAAACGAAGAAATAGAATATGAATAAGAAGAGAAAAAGAAGAAATAGAATATGAATAAGGAGAAGAAAAAAAGAATAGAATATGAATAAGAAGAGGAAAACGAAGAAATAGAATATGAATAATAAGAAGAAAAAGAATAGGAACAAGTAGAAGCAGAAAAAAGAATTTCAGTCCGATATTATATTTGACATTTAAAAGTATAGCAACATTGTATCTATTTGTATCCGAATAGAAACATCTGTATCCGAAATGGATACAAATAGATACAATGTTGCAACCTTTTCTTCTTATTATTCATATTCTATTTCTTCTTTTTCTTCTTCTTATTCATATTCTATTTCTTCTGTCAAATATAATAGCAGAGCTCTCTGCAGGGACACTGCTATTATATTTGCCGGCCGTAGACGGGACGAAAATCAGCTGACTTTTTTTCTACCAATGGTGGTAACGTCGGCCCACTGAACGACCGATTTTTCGTTTTTCTAAAAAAAAAACAGCCAGTTTTCTCCCCGTCTATGGCCTGCAGTAGAGTCTACATGGTGGGATTCGGGGAAGGTGACACAGGAGTTGTCAGGGTGGGAAGATTCAGTTACTTTGTTGATCTTCTAGATCCTAGGTCGGTTTTCTGGCAGGATTGGGTATTGACGCCAGGAAGCGGGCACGGAGCTTCTCATACTACACATGTCTGAGGTGATAACAATGGGAGAGGTCCTGCTGGTGAAGGAAGGGTTAATCCTCCAGCCAGTCAAGGGTTAAACACACACAGCCCAGGGTGGCGCGTGCGCTTCATTGTTTCCACCGCAGGCTGGATTGTTACATTGTATCGGCAGAGCAGCTGCTGGAGGCAGAGATGGGGCGTGGCCCACACCACCGCACATGCTCAGTGACGGGGGATACAGTCTGCGCTGCTTTTTTTCATATCAACGGGAAGAGGATGCATGAAGGTGGAGGAGGCTGATGTGAGGGGACCAGCGCTGAGGGACTGGCACCAACCTGACAGAAAGGTAAGGACTCGGCTCCCTCCGCCCTGTGTACCAGCATCCTCCATGTGTGCCCAGCAGGAGGAGGAGGAGGCTGCCGGTTATAATGTGTACACTGAGCGGAGTACACAGGGCTCATCCTATATATAGCCGTCCACAGCGTGCTACCAGCCTGGGTGTCACATGCCAAATGTACAGCTAACAATTGGGCTTCTATGGCACACTGGAGTCCTGATGTGTGTGAGGGGGATGGGGGCACTGGATGGGGGCACTGGGCTATGTCTGGGTAATACCTGATCTCCATTCTAATGACATGGAATAGTGTGTACTGGATTTTTACCATGTGTATGTACTACAGAGGACCCTCTCTGGGGGACACGGCCTCCCCTCCCTATGGGTGGACTGCCTTCATATCTGCACACTGCAAATCAACCACATCCCCCAGATAGAGGATGTCAGATGTCTTCCTATGTGTTCTTCACACCTCTGTACCATCTACAGAGCAACACCGAGACGGGGGACGCACAGCTCAGGCTGACCTATGTCTGTCTATGTATATACAGTATGTATGTGTGTGTGTATATATATATATATATCTCCACTTGAGCTCTGGAAGGTTTTACTCCCTCTTCATGGCCAGGCCATTTTTTGCTATTTAGCACTGCACTACTTTAACTGACAGTTGTGCAGTCATGCAACACTGCATTCAAACAAATAAACAAATTTTATATAATTTTCTTGTTTCACATAAATAGCACTTCCTTTTGGTAGTATTTGATCACCACTTGGTTATTTCTTTTTTGCCATATAAACGAGAAAAGACCCAAAATTGTGAACAGCCCCCCCCCCCCCCCACCACAATATTTTCTTCATTTCTTCATAAATTTTGTCCAATATGTATTCTGCTACATGTCTTTGGTAAAATAAAAACCTCAAGTGTATATTAATTGGTTTGCATGACAGTTCTAGTGTCTACAAACTATGGTATAAATACTGGAATATGAATTTGTTTTATACTACTAATGGTGGTGATCAGCAACTTCTAGTGGGACTGTGATAGTGCAGTGGGCAATCTGACACTAACTGACACTGGGGGGGCTGACTAGCTGCCCCTGACATTTCCAGTGACACTAAGTGCCGGTTCACATATATGTGGAAATGACAAACACAAATACTGCTCTTGGGGGTGGACTAAACAGAGGCTACAATCACATCTCAAATGCCCTGGATAGTGCACGCCTTGCTGCCCTCAAAGGACCGGGGAAGTCCAAATACACTGAATGCAAAGAAAACAAACAGAGGGCACAGAGGGCGCATCGGCCTAGTGTATTACCTTAAACATGTATTAATAAAAAAGTGATCGGTAATATACTCACAAATGACAATCCTGTCAAAGGCACATCATAAAAGAACAACACTGTCCAGTCCACATCACATGACTGTCTGCAGTGGGAACCCTGAACCTCCAATGGGCTAACGGCATTCGAGGACTTTCCTCTTCCTCAGAGCAGCACTGAGGAAGAGGCAAGTCCGCGAACACGTTAGCCTGTTGGAGGTCCAGGGTTCACATTGCGGACAGTCATGTGATGTGTAGTGGTTTCTCCTGCGCTAGATGAACTCAACCTAAACAAAGCTGCTAGCACCCCCAACCCTATACCTCAGAAGGATTAAAAATCACAAATAATGTACATATGGTGCAGCCCTAAAATTAAATACACATGATAAAATACACAATAAATTGATGAAAAATAATTAAATACCAAACTATGGCTCCTAGATTGTAAGCTCCAAGGAGCAGGGCCCTCGAACCCCTCGTGTATCGCATTGTATTGTTACTGTACTGTCTCGTGTACTGTCATCTCCCATTGTAATGTACAGTGCTGAGTAAACTGTTGGCGCTATATAAATAATAATAATCATAATAGATCCCTAAGAAAAAAAAAGGGAACTAAATATTAAGTGCAAAAATACTTAAAGTGCAATTAAGTGGATTTCTAAAGATGGGTCACAAATGCAGACCCTATAAGCCGTGAAAAACAACAAACCCAAATCCCAAATTGGGATGGTACACACCAATATGTGTCAGCAACACATATTGGTGTGTACCATCCCGATTTGGGTTTGTTGTTTTTCACGGCTTATAGGGTCTGCATTTGTGACCCATCTTTTGAAATCCACTTAATTGCACTTTAAGTATTTTTGCACTTTATCTTCAGTTCCCTTTTTTTTCAGGGATCCATAGTTTGGTATTTATTTTATTATTTTTCATCAATTTATTGCGTATTTTATCATTTGTATTCAATTTTAGCGCTGCACCATATGTACATTATTAGTCATGTGATGTGGAGTAGACAGTGCTGTTCTTTTATGATGTGCCTTTGACATGATTGTCATTTCTGAGTATATTACCTATCACTTTTTTATTAATGTTTTTTAAGGTAATGCACTAGGCCGATGTGCCCACCTGTTTGTTTTCTTTGCATTCACATATATGTGGATTGGATGCTGTTTGAACCGCATCCAGTCCTCATGACATGTGAAATAACATTGTTTCCTATGGTGCCTGTTTCCATATGCCCGGTGTACTGGCAGTGCGGATTCAGTAAGAGTCATGTCCGATTTCTGAGCAATGCGGTCCGGTTCAGGTGCGGATTACAGGCTATTGACTTCTATGCAGGGGCGGACTGACCATTTGGAAACTCGGGCACTGCCCGAGGGCCCGGGGTCAGTAGGGGGCCCCGTTGGATGCCCCTGGTACCTTTTTTCATAGGTTTTTTTGAGTTTGGGCAAGGACACAGGGGCCCCATGATCCCCTATTGCCCGGGGGCCCCATGAGTTGTCAGTCCGCCCCTGCTTCTATGGGAATCATTTCTAAACCACACATGTGTGAACAGGATAAAATCCTGACCCGATCCTGTCCTGAACCTGATGTAAACCTGACGTGAACCACTGAACAACTACTGTGTCAATTAGCTGTGAAACCTGAGCTTCAATTCGCACCGCACATGTATGAATCAGCTCTGATACAGAGATCAGTGCTAATAATATACACTGTCACTGTACTAATGACACTGGATGGGAAGGGGTTAACATCTAGGGCATTCAAGAGGTTAAATGTGTGCCTAACAATGTTTAGTGTGTTTGTACTGTGTGATGATTTTTTTAAGCAATTTTTACTCCCAGCTTTGCAGGGAGAAAAAAGGCACATCGCTGCTGTATGTAGAGAAACAACTGAAACTGCTAAACAACACAGGGCTCTCTTCTCTCATTCGTGCAGCTGAGCAGCGGGTCCTGGTCGATAATCATTGACGGGGACCCGCTGATCGGCTTGTGCTGCAATGAATGACAACACAGTCTTTTGGGTCCACGAAAATGTATTATATTTATGTTGCAGTTTAACAAATCTTAGGTGTGATGGCTGCATTAGATTTCTTTTTCAGGGCTGCTTCACCATGAATCGCCCAAGACTGCTGTGTGTTCCTGTGCGATTCACATGCGACCCGGGTGCAGTGTGATTTCAGCCCATTCATTTGAACGGGCTGAAATCGTGCCAGACTGCAACAAACGTAGTATACTCCCTACTTTGCAAAATAATGGATTACTTCTGTACCATGAGATCCGGTGCAGGCAAACACACTGCATTTAGGCCAGGGGGAGGAAATCTTAAAGAGGCGGAGAAGTCAAAGACCACCGGGCACAGTGTTGCCTCCTCACACCTAATTTAAACCTCTAATTGCCGTACTATACCATGTCACAATCTTGTGCATCAAACAAGACACACATGTGCTCAAATCCCAATAGCGAGTACATGCATTTATCTATCAGGTGCTAAAGGGGTGTAACCACATATTAACACTAGAAATTCTGAAGGCCCCTCTGCACCCTGGTATATACCCTTCCAGCAGACCCTGCAATAAAGAATAGGGACATTTAGTTCACACATATTGCAATACATGTTTTAAGCCGGCCTACTGCGTCAAAGTAATCCCCCTATGGCCAGTCCTACTCTGCTCTGCCTATACAAATGTTACTTTGGACACAATGCCAATATAGGGGAAAAGACAAAGTGGGGGAGAGCTACTAGGTTTAGGTCTGGCTACTGACCCATTATCTATCTTTGAGGAAGTCATGTGATACGTGATGTAACGCGTAGTAAGGAAGTGTGGTGACATCATTTCTGGTTGGACGGCGGCTGCCATCTTGGTACACCTGTTCCTATGTATTTTATACTAATGCTTGTATGGGTCTGCTGGCCTGATTTTAAAAGTTAAGTATTCTGTACCTGGTTTTTATACATTAAACATGGAAGTATTACACTGTAAGATGTCTTTTGATGTTTTTTTGAACATGGATTTCTGATGAGTTACTTTGGACACAATGGCTGATGAGGAATTGGAGAAAGAGCCAGTAAAGTGCGCTTACAGAGGAGCTGGTTGGATTTCGGGTTGATAATAAAGTGCATTTGACCTATATTCCCTATAGGTCAAAATGGAAGGTGAGCGTGAAAGCTAGCTGGTGGAGGATTTTTAAGGCTGTCATGTTCAAGTACGTGTGGAATATATGTTGATTTTTAAGATTTTTTCTGCATTACAGATCTTGATTTTTTTACTATTGTTCAATTTGGTAAGCGGGGCTGTTTGGATATTTTTCATTCACTTGTTTTGGTTATTTTTTTGGTATCCACTTATATCACCTTAGTTAGGGGCTCTGTCAGGCATTTACTTTGTGCTTTATTGTTAGGTTTAGTGAGAAGCAAAGCGCTATTTATCTATTCATTTAGTTCCTCTGCATTGCACTTTGATGTTCCAGAATGGCGTGCCAGCAAGCCCACACCGAGATCTACAGTGGGGATCGAAAGTTTGGGCACCCCAGCTAAAAATATGTATTAATGTGCATAAAGAAGCCAAGGAAAGATGGAAAAATCTCCAAAAGGCATCAAATTACAGATTAGACATTTTATAATATGTCAACAAAAGTTACATTTGATTTCCATCATTTACACTTTGGAAATAACAGAAAACAAAAAAATGGCTGATGAGGAATTGGGCAAGAGCCAGTAATTTATAGTGCGCTTTTAGCTGAGACCTGCCAGTGCTGGTTGGATTTCGGGTTGATAAGGTTTTAAGTGCCCAGACTCATTGACCTTGCCCCAACAATCAGCACCATGGGTTCTTCTAAGCAGTTGTCTAGAAAACTGAAACTGAAAATAGTTGACGCTCACAAAGCTGGAGAAGGCTATAAGAAGATGCAAAGCGTTTTATGTCAATATCCTCTGTTCGGAATGTAATTAAGAAATGGCAGTCATCTTGAACAGTGGAAGTTAAAGCAAGATCTGGAAGACCAAGAAAAATATCAGACATAACAGCTCGCAGGATTGTGAGAAAAATTCAAAACCCACGTTTGACTGCACGATCCCTCCAGAAAGATCTGGCAGACACTGTTGTGGTACACTATTCCACTATAAAGAGATACTTGTACAAAATGGTCTTCATGGAAGAGTCATCAGAAGAAAACCTCTTCTACGTCCTCACCACAAAAAATCGTGAACTTTGCAAATGAACATATAGACAAGGATGCATTTTGGAAACAAGTTCTGTGGACCAATGAGGTTAAAATTGAACTTTTTGGCCTGCAAAGGTACGTTTGGAGAAGAAGGGGCACAGAATTTAATGAAAATAACCTCTGTCCAACTTTAAGCATGGGGTTGGATCAATCATGCTTTGGGGTTGTGTTACAGCCAGTGGCACGGGAACATCTCACGAGTTTGGATTCAATAAAATTTTGGATGGTAACTTGATGCCATCTTGAAAAAGCTGTTAAAAGAGAGGATGGCTTCTACAAATGGATAATGATTCTAAACACACCTCGAAATCCACGGGGGATTTCAAGAGGCATCTGAAGGTTTTGCCATGGCATTTACAATTGTGCTTAATTGTTAGGTTTAGTGCGTGAGAAATCTCAAAGCTGGAAGCTTTTTATGGGCAAAGATTCAAACAAGTTCTCTGGCTGCAGCGTTTGCACTGTGATGTTGCCCAGTACAAATGGCAGGGTGCCCAAACTTTTGCAGACGCCATTTTTTTGTTTTCTGTTATGTTGAAAGTGTAAATGATGGAAATAAAATCTAACTTTTGTTGACATATTATAAGAAGTCTAATCTGTAATTTGATGCCTTTTGGAGATTTTTCCATCTTTCCTTGGCTTCTTTATGCACATTAATACAAATTTTTAGCTGGGGTGCCCAAACTTTCGATCCCCACTGTACCAGTCACCTGGCCAAGATCTACTGGTAGATCACTATCTATGGCTAGGTTCACACCTATGCAGTTTGTGTTTGATCCATTTCTGCAGTGCGTTTTGTGTTGACTTTTGCGATTTTGATGCATTTTGTGGGGGGTTTTTTTTCTTGTTGCTAGGCAGACTTAAAACGCAAAAACGCACTACATGATTTTCTGCAGCATTTCCATTGAAGTCTATAGAACCAAAAATGCAACTTTTTGCTTTTAAAAAAGTCACTGATCCTTTCCAAAAAAAAAACACACCAGGTGGAAACGGGGAGATGTGAACCTGTCCCATAGAAAATCATGTTAAATGGACTGTAGTACATTTCTGCATAATTTAAAACGCTGCGGAATACGCTTAGGTGTGAACCTAGGAAACTGGACGCTCACTCCTGGTTTAGGGTGTCAATAGCATTGCAGTGTAAATATTTGCTAGCACACCACAGATCTTCAGAGAAGAACAATCATATCAAGAACAAAAGCGTGGACATTTTGGATCCACACAGGACCCCTACATCGTTACATGTTGCACTTTTTCTGTTTGTGATGTAATCATACTTCAGTAAAGAAAAAAATAAACATTCAGACTTAATCTGAAATCGGTGGCATGCTGGCAAATATTTACACTGTACCGTCCATGTTTCAGTCCCCAGCTGGTGGTTGTTGTAGCACCCATTACTTTAGGGACAATTTCAAGAATGTGTGTGATGAGAATATGGACAATTAGCATTGCACTGACGCCCACTGCAGATCACAACTGCGGTGCGGTTTTCCACACAGTGTGCTGGTGTGAACTGGTCCTCCCAGGCTTTCTTTCCTTTAGTTTCACCTTGTGATCCAGCCAGTAAGTCTGTTGTTTTTTTTAAAAGAACAAGCTGTCCTACAGATATAGCAGGTGGAGGGTTGAGACAAAATGTTTACACTGACAGAGGTGCTTACAATGATACATTTTTATTTATTTATTTAAAACGTTTATCCCAAAAGGAACAAAACTGTTTGTTATAACTGATTTTGAAGTATGAGCTGGCGTTTGGCTTCCATTCTTTAGTGTATCTAAATATGCTGGTACAACACCAGACAGACCATGCTGCTGCTCCTTCATTCAGAGTGTAGGCACTCTAATACAGAAAGCGTGTTACTGGCCACATCATCAGGTGAAATCAGAGGAAAGAAGCCTTAAAAAAAAAAAAGAAAACTAATGCAGCCACCACAACTAATGATTGATAAGCTGCACTATATTACATTTTTGGTTTAGGATTTACTACAGCTTTAAAACGAACTAGTGCAACTGTACTTGCCTCACCTGCCACAGGTTCTCTAATTGGGGGGGGGGGGGGTATCAAACCCAGTATTGTGTGGGGATGATTGATTTAGCTGTCTTCAGATGAAAATATTTCAGGTCTTCAGAGGAACTCTCATTGAGGTGGCTCAGGATTTCAGAGAAAATGGACCCACCAAGCTTCATTGAAGTGTGTCAGGTCTCCGGAGTAAAGGATCAACCAAGTTGTTCTGAGGTGAGTCTGATCTTCAGAGGAAAGGGACCTACCAAGTTTCA